CTTGGGGCTCTCATGGTATTGGGGAGCTGTTTCCAACTACATATTGGAAAAAAAGAAAATCATAAAAGTCTCCTCCATGAATACTGTTAAAAAGAAATATTGAGAAGATAACTTTGATATCACCAGCAATACAATTCAGATAAAAATATGAAGCAGAGAGAAGATGAGAACCAGATATTTTAAGTAAACCAGTGAGTTTTATATTACTATATTTATCAGACTCATGACTCACATTTCAGAATAAAAGCTACAGTCTCTATTTGTACTTGTCTGTATGTTTGGGCATGTATGTATGTTATTTATATGCAATATTTTTAATTTCCAAGTAGCATTACCAAATTAGTTTCTAAAATCATATAGTCCTTTCTGATTGGCTTAAAGATAATCACATACATAAATTAAACATTCCTTAAACTCCCAGAAATATAGAAACTAATCAAAATGTTTTTTGAGTATATGTAACTTACATAATTATTGGTAAATATGACTAATTTGATATTGTTGGTTTAACTAATATGGATATGCCTTCTGACTTATCAGAATTAAGTACATAGGGGAAGAAAAATATCATGACTTTCTACTGTTTGAAGTTCTCAGGTAGGGCTCTAACAACAGAAATATTGACAGATAAAAGCATAAAAATGCATTTAATATTAGTTTTATGTGACATGAAAGCCTGCATAATGAAATTAACACCTGAAGAAATAATTAAACCTGAGTGGTTTTATGATAGGTTTGATGAAGAGTGGAAAGTTTTGGAAGAATGTCATAAGACAAAGAGTATGAGCTAAGTGTAGTAAACCAAAAGGATCTTAACAGGGATTGTTCATTCAAATTCCTCTCACTGTCCCTCCATCTTGAGAGATGAGGATGCTCCTTCCCTCTAGGTATTGGGAGAGAACCTCTTATATAAGTCTATTATGATATACATTAGTGGAGAAGGGCAGAGGAAGGTCACGGAGTTCTTCCTGACATTTTTCAAGTTACTTTAGCTTAAAAGAGTTAACACAACAAGGTGGCATGAGAGATCTGCTGTGAGTCTGATGGGCTTCCCTTTGTGCATAATCTGACCTTTCTCCCTGGCTGCCCTTAGCATTTTTTCTTTCATTTCAACCCTGGTGAGTCTGACGATAATGTGTCTTGGGGTTGCTCTTCTCTAGGAATATCTTTATGGTGTTCTTTGTATTTCCTGAATTTGAATGTTGGCCTCCCTTGCTATGTTGGGGAAGTTCTTCTGGATAATATCCTGAAGAGTGTTTTCCAACTTGGCTTCAGTCTCCCCGTCACTTTCCGGTACACTGATCAAACATAGATTTGGTCTCTTCATATAATTCCATGTTTCTTGGAGGCATTGTTTATTTATTTTCACTCTTTTTTTCTCTTATCTTGTCTTCTCACTTTATTTCATTGAGCTGATCTTCTATCTCTGATACCCTTTCTTCCATTTGATCAATTCAGCTATTTAAACTTGTGTATGCTTCACGAAGTTCTCATGCTGTGATTTTCAGCTCCATCAAGTCGTATATGTTTTTCTCTACGCTGGTTATTCTAGTTAGACTTTTGTCTAACCTTTTAAGCAAGATTCTTAGCTTCCTTGCATAGGGTTAGAACATGCTGCCTTAGCTAGGAGAAGTTTGTTATTGCCCACTTTCTGAAGCCTGCTTCTGTCAGTTCATCAAACTCACTCTCCATCCAGTTTTGTTCCCTTACTTTTGAGGAGTTGCAATCCCTTGGAGCACAAGATGCATTCTGGTTTTTGGAGTTTTCAACCTTTTTGTGCTGGTTTCTTCCCATCTTTGTGGTTTTATCTACCTTTGGTCTTTGAAGTCGGTGACCTTTGAATGGGATCTCTGAGTGGGCATCCTTTCTGTTGATGTTGAAACTATTTCTTTCTGTTTGTTAGTTTTCCTTCTAACAGTCAGTGCCCTCTGCTGCAGGTCTGATGGAGTTTGCTGGAAGTTTACTCCAGACTCTGCTTGTCTGGAAATCACCAGCAAGGGCTGCAGAACAGCAAAGATTGCTGCCTTTTCATTTCTCTGGTATCTTTGTCTCAGAAGGGTACCTGCCAGATGCAGCCAGAGCTTTCCTGTATGAGGTGTCTGTTAGCCTCTGCTGGGAGATGTCTCCTAGTCAGGATACAGGGTGGTCAGGGAGCCACTTGAGGCAATCAGTCCCTTACCAGAGCTTGAGTGCTTTGCTGGGAGCTCCACTTCTCCCTTCAGAGCTGCCAGGCAGGTACATTTAAGTCTGCTGAAGCCGTACCCAGAACTGTCCCTTTTCCCAGGTATTCTGTCCCAGGAAGGTGGGGGGCCTGATGGGCTGCTGCCTTTTTTTAGAGATGCCCTTCCAAGCAAGGAGGCAGTCTAGTGACACAGTCTGCATGTAGTGGCCTTGCTGAGCTGCCATTAACTCCACGCAGTCACTGTGTAAACTTCCTGGCGACTTTGTTTACACAGGTGAGCCTCAGCAATGGTGGAAGCCTGTCCCTCCACAGAGCTCAAACATCCCAGGTCGAGCTCAGACTGCTGTGCTGACTGCAAGAATTTCAAGCTAGTGGATCTTAGCTTGCTGTTCTTCATGGGAGTGGGACCCACCAAACCAGATCACTTGGTTCCCTATCTTCGGCCCCCTTTTCCAGGGGAATGAGGTGTTCTTTCTCCCTGGTTTTCCAGGTGCCAATATGGTATGGAAAAAAAAAAGCTGCTGTGGCTAGCTCAGTGTCTTCCCAAACAGTTGCCCAGTTTTGTGTTGGAAACCCAGGGTGCTGGTGTTGTAGGCACCAGAGGGTATCTCCTGATCTGTGGCTTGTGAAGACTGTGGGAAAAGTGTAGTATGTGAGCCAGACTGCCAGAGTGCCAGGAAAAGTCCCTAATGGCTTCCCTTGGTTAGGAGAGGGAGTTTTCCAGTGGCTTGCACTTCCCAGGTGAGGTGATGCCCCACCCTGCTTCAGCTCACCCTCCTTGGGCTTCCCCCATTGTCTAACCAGTCCCATTGACATGAACCAGGTAACTTAGTTGGAAATGCAGAGATCACCTGCCTTCTGTATCACTCTCACTAGGAGCTGCACACTGGAGCTGTTCCTATTTGGCCATCTTTCCACTGCCTCGTATAGTTCAACTTTAAAGCAAGGATAATAATAATATCTTTTCCAATGTTAACCCCCCCAAGGAAATAAGAAAGTGTGTACATACAGTGATTGCTGCTGCCCAGATGTCCGTGGTCATTGGTCACCTCTTGCCCTCACCCCCCACTTTCTCCTCTCTCCTCAGAGGAGGAGCCTAAAATTCATATTACCTAAAGATGGTTCTTTAGGAAACAAATTCTGCTACATTTTCAGTTTGCTGGCTCTGAATAAAGTTGCTTTCCTTGTCCAAATACCTTGTTTACCAAATTATTGCCTATCATAAAGTGAGTTCTACAATCATTGGACTTGGTTACTAGATGTTCAAGATTATAAAAAATATAGATTCAACCTAAGAACAGACCTACAAGTAAAAGCAGTAAAAAAAGAAGAAATATGTAAGTATTTTGATTTTGACTTTTTGATATGTGTCCAACATACAAGTGCTGTAAAAATAGCTAACAGATGAGAACACATGGACACAGAGAGGGGAGCATCACACACTGGAGTCTGTTGGGGGGGACTAGGGGAGGGACAGCGGGGGTAGGGAGTTTGGGAGGGATAACATGGGGAGAAATGCCAGATATTGGTGATGGAGATGGAGGCAGCAAACCACATTGTCATGCATGTACCTATGCAACAATCCTGCATGTTCTTCACATGTAGCCCAGAACCTAAATTGCAATTTTATATATATATATGAAAACAATTTGGGATGATGATTAGCTTTGTTTAATATAATAATATATTTGCATAAAAATAATTTTTAAAATCTTTTTGGTAATTTGCAAACTTAAAGTTATGCTAAGTTAAGTAACATTAATTAAATATTTAGATTAATTCTAAGTAAGATAAAATACAAAAGTATTTGTAAGTTTAAGTCTGTATATGTTTGGCCTCTTAATTTTATATAATACAAACAAATTACTGTATTTAAGTCTCCTATTAAATGTTTTTATTGTCAATTTGAAAAAATGTAGTATGAGAAATCATATGCCTATACAATTGTAAAATATGTTTATAAAATTTGCTAGTCTGCTACAGAATCCTGTTATACAGCAGACAATTTATAATTGTCTACTTCCTAGGTTTCTCTGTAAAAAATACATTACTAATGGTAAAAAATTATAAACAATATGTGAAGCTAAACCAACTAGAAGCCATAAGGATCAAAGAAAATAAGCTTTTTTGCTAAGTATACAAGAAAAATAGAATGTGTTTACATGTATAAGCAATACAAAACATGAAGAATGTGTTTTTGTTAAGGAAAAATATACAGTAATTTTATCCCTAGTAAAATGTGTATTGGAGCAAGGGTTTTTTCTCTGCCTTTTTTTTTTTTTTTTTTTGAGACACAGTTTCCCTCGGTTGCCCAGGCTGGAGTGCAGTGGCACAACCTTTGCCTACCAGGGTCAAGTGATTCTCCTGCCTCAGCTGCCCAAGCTGCTGGGATTACAAGCCCCCACCACCACACCCAGCTAATTTTTGTAATTTTTTTTTATACTTCAAGTTCGGGGGTACATGTTGAGAACGTGCAAGTTTGTTACATATTTATACGTGTGACATGGTGGTTTGCTACATCCATCACCGTCATCTACATTAGGTATTTTAGGTATACTTCCTAATGTTATCCCTCCACTAGTCCTCCACCCACCGACAGGTCCCAGTGTGTGATGTTCCGCTCCATATGTCCATGTGTTCTCATTGTTCAACTCCCACTTATGAGTAAGAACATGTGGTATTTGGTTTTATGTTCTTCTGTTAGTTTGCTGAGAAGGATGGTTTCCAGCTTCATCCATGCCCCTGCAAAGGACATGAACTCATCATTTTTTATGGCTGCATAGTATTCCACAGTGTATATGTGCTACATTTTCTTTTCTTTTTTTTTTTTAATAAAGAATCCACTTTTTAATATTAGTGTTTAACACATTTATCGGTTTGGTAGAAAGCAAATTCGGGACCTTGAAATGGTAATAGGTGATAACATGAGGCTTGCCAATAAATTCTCATATCTTCACTGTCACTTAGGACATAATGGAGAATATGAACATATTTAATTCCTAAAGTTCCTGCAATTACCTACATACTCCTTAACACCCAGCTGTATTAAACAGGCTTTTCGAAATACCATGGGAAGAAGTTATCGCTATGCCTCATTTTGAATGGTATTTTCTGCTTTATTTTGATTTTCAACAGCAAAAGGATATGGTGCTTTTCCTAAAAGAAACCGTTCCCATTTGGGAATATATTCTTCTACTGATGCCCAGTAACGAGTCTCAAGAGAAACCACCTCAGGCCGTGGAATTGGGTGAATCCTGGTCTGCAGTGACTTTTCTGCTGCTTCTATATCCTTTAAAAGACTAAGATTCCTTTTAAAAGCAGTCTCAACTGTTTGGAGCTGAGATGCCTTTTCTGTGTGTTGATTGCCCAATTTATTCTCCATTTGTTGAAGTAACATTAATCTTTGTGATACTATTTCTTCATGTCTTTTAGAAAGGCGAATTTCTTGAGCAAACAAGGAAGTCATCCTTAATCAAAGCTTGGCTAACTGGACCGATACAGACAGAGGTCTAGTGAAATGCGCTGAAGGCCTCCAACCTGCAGGCAAATCATCTGGTTGGGCTTAAGGGCTGAAGGTGCTTGCCCGCTAACATCACCGCAGGCCAATCGTCGTCGCCTTCCTCTCGGTTTCCTTTTGCTACGAGGCCGCAGCGCCAAGGGAATTCCGGAAAGTCGGTTCATGGTAACTTTTCTGTGAGGCCCGCCATCAGCACTTTAGACAAAACCCAAGTCAAATTCTCCCCTTGGAACCGAAGATCCGCACCTTCTTAGAGTCATCTGCCCTCCAGCCGCCCCAACTCCCGCTTATACCCAAAGGACTCAGGAGCCTTCCTCATCAGCCTGGCTCTTTACGTTAACAACATCCTCCCAAGAGGCCCTGCAGGTCCCTGCATGGCCGTCGGGCAGTCAGGGCACCCACCCGCGGTCCGACTCCACTCACCGAGCCCGCCTCTCTACATTTTCTTTATCCAGTCTATCACTGATGAGCATTTGGGTTGGTTCCAAGACTTTGCTATTGTGAGCAGTGCCACAATAAATATATGTGTGCATGTCTCCTTATAATAGAATGATTTATAATTCTTTGGGTGTATACCCAGTAATTGGATTGCGGGGTCAAATTTTGTTTCTGGTTCTAGATCCTTGAGGAATCACCACCCTGTCTTCCACAATGGTTGAACTGATTTACACTCCCACCAACAGTAAAAGCATTCCCATTTCTCCACATCCTCTCCAACACCTGTTGTTTCCTGACATTTTAATGATCACCATTGTAACTGGCCTGAGATGGTATCTCATTGTAGTTTTGATTTGCATTTCTCTAATGACCAGTGATGATGAGCTTTTTTTCATGTTTGTTGGCTGCATAAATGTTTCTTTTTGTAAAGTGTCTTTTTATACCCTTCACACACTTTTTGATGAGGTTGTTTATTTTTTAATTGTAGATCTGTTTAGGTTCTTGTAGATTCTGGATTTGAGCCCTTTGTCAGATGGGTAGATTGCAAAAATTTTCTCCCATTCTATAGGTTGCCTGTTCACTCTGATGATACTTTCTTTTGCTGTGCAGAAGCTCTTTAGTTTAATTAGATCCCATTTGTCTATTTTGGCTTTTGTTGTCATTGCTTTTGGTATTTTAGTCATGAGGTCCTTGCCCATGCCTATGTGCTGAATGGTATTGCCTAGGATTTCTTCCAGGGTTTTTATGGTTTTAGGTCTTAGATTTCAATCTTTAATTCACCTGGAGTTAACTTTTCTATAAGGTGTTAGGAAGGTAACCAGTTTCAGCTTCCTGCATATGGCTAGCCAGTTTTCCCAACCTTATTTATTAAATAGGGAATCCTTTCCCCATTGCTTGTTTTTGTCAGGTTTTTCAAAGATCAGATGGTTGTAGGTGTGTGGCATTACTTCCGAGGCTTCTGTTCTCTTCCATTGGTCTATATCTCTGTTTTGGTACCAGTACCATGCTGCTTTGATTACTGTAGCCTTGCAGTATTGTTTGAAGTAAGGCAGTGTGATGCCTCCAGCTTTTTTTTTTTTTCCCCTTAGGATTTTCTTTGCTATGCGAGCTCTTTTTTGGTTCCATATAAAATTTAAGGTGGTTTTCTCCAATTCTGTGAAGAAAGTCAATGGTAGCTTGATGAGGATAGCATTGAATGTACAGAGTACTTTGGGCAGTATGAACATTTTAATGATATTGATTCTTACTAACCATGAGCCTGGAATATTTTCCCATCTTTTTGTGTCCTCTCTTATTTCTTGGAGCAGTGGTTTGTAGTTCTCCTTGAAGAGGTCCTTCACATCTCTTGTTAGTTTTATTCCTAGGTATTTTAATCTCTTTGTAGCAATTGTGAATGGGACTTACTCATGATTTGGCAGTCTATTTGTTAGTGGTGTATAGGAATCCTTGCAATTTTTGCACATTGATTTTGTATCCTGAGATTTTGCTGAAGTTGCTTATCAGCCTAAGGAGATTTTGGGCTGAAATGATGGGGTTTTCTAAATATATAATCATGTCGCCTGCAATTGGATACAATTTGACTTCCTTTTTTCCTAATTGAATAACTTTATTTCATTTTCTTGCCTGATTGCCCTGCCCAGAACTTCCAATACTATGTTGAATAGGAGTGGTGAGAGAGGGCATCCTTGTCTTGTGTCAGTTTTGAAAGGGCACGCTTCCAGTTTTTGCCCATTCACTATGATATTGGCTGTGGGTTTGTCATATATAGCTGTTATAATTTTGAGACACATTTCATCAATACCTAGCATATTTAGAGTTTTTAGTTTAAAGGACTGTTCAATTTTGTCCAAGGCTTTCTCTGCATCTATTGAGATAATCATGTGATTTTTGTCATTGGTTCTGTTTATGTGATGGGTTACATTTACTGATTTGCTTATGTTGAGTCAGCCTTGCATCCCAGGGATGAAGCCAACTTGATCATGATGAATAAGCTTTTTGATGTGCTGTTGGATTTGATTTGCCAGTATTTTTTTGAGGATTTTCACATTGATGTTCACCATGGATATTTTGGCCCGCAATTTTCTTTTTTAGTTGTGCCTCTTTCAGGTTTTGGTTTCAGGACAATGTTGGTCTAATAAAATGGGTTAGGGAGGATTTCCTCTTTTTTATTGTTTGGAATAGTTTCAGAAGGAATAGTATCAGCTCCTCTTTATACCTCTGGTAGAATTCGGCTGTAAACCCTTCTGGTCCTGGACTTTTTTGTTTGGTGGGCTATTAATTGCTGCCTCAATTGCAGACTTTGTTATGGTTCTATTCAGGGATTCAACTTCTTCCTGGTTTAGTCTTGGGAGGGTATAAGTGTCTAGGTGTTTATACATTTCTTCTAGATTTTCTGGTTTATTTGCCTAAAGTTGTTTATAGTATTCTCTGATGGCAGTTTGTATAACTGTGGGATTAGTGGTGATATCCCCTTTATCATTTTTTATTGCTTTTATTTGATTCTTCTCTCTTTTATTTTTTATTGGTCTGGTTATCAGTTTATCTATTTTGTTGATCTTTTCAAAGAACCAGCTTCTGGATTAATTGATTTTTTGAAGGGTTTTTTTTTTTGTGTGTGTGTGTGTGTATTTATCTCCTTCAATTTTGCTCTTATCTTAGTTATTTCTTGTCTTCTGCTATCTTTTAAATTTGTTTGATCTTTCTCATCTAGTTCTTATAATTGTGACATTAGGGTATGGATTCTATATCTTTCCTCTTTCTCTTGTTGGCATTTAGTGCCGTAAGTTTCCCTCTAGACACTGTTTTATATGTGTCCCAGAGCTTCTGGTACATAGAGACTGTTTGTTATGATTCTCATCCTTTTGCATTTGCTGAGGAGTGTTTTACTTCCAATTATGTGGTCTATTTTAGAATAAGCATGACATGGGGCTGAGAAGAATGTATATTCTGTGGATTTGGGGTGGAGAGTTCTTTAGATGTCTATTAGGTCCCCTTTTGTCTAGATCTGAGTTCAAGCTCTCGATATCCTTGTTAATTTTCTGTCCTGTTCATCTATCTAATATCAACAGTGGAGTGTTAAAATCTCCCACTATTATTGTGTGGGAGCCTAGATCTCTTTGTAGGTCACTAAGAACTTGCTGTGTGTATCTGGGTGCTACTGTATTGGGTGCATATATATTTAGGATAGTTAACTCTTCTTGTTGCATTGATCCCTTTACCGTTATGTAATACCCTTCTTTGTCTCTTTTGATCTTTGTTGGTTTAAAGTCTGTTTTATCAGAGACTAGGATTGCATCCCCTGCTTTTTTTGCTTTACATTTTCTTGGCAAATCTTTCTCCATGCCTTTATTTTGAGCCTATACTTGTCTTTGCATATGAGATTGGTCTCCTGAATATAGTACATCAATAGGTCTTGGCTTTTTATCCAATTTACCAGTCTGTGTCTTTTAATTGGGGCATTTAGCCCATTTATATTTAAGGTTAATATTGTTACGTGTGAATTTGATCCTGCCATTTTGATGCTAGCTGGTTGTTTTGGCCATCAGTTGATGCAGTTTCTTCATAGTGTCGATGGTCTTTAAATTTGGTATGTTTTTGCAGTGGCTGGTACTGGTTATTCTTTTCCATGTTTAGTGCTTCCTTCAGGATCTCTTGCAAGGCAGGCCCGGTGGGGACAAAATCTCTCAGCATTTTCTTGTTTGTAAAGGATTTTATTTCTCATTTGCTTATGAAGCTTAGTTTCACTGGTTATGAAATTCTAGGTTGAATATTCTTTTCTTTAACATTGTTGAATAATGGACCCTGCTCTCTTCTGGCTTGTAAGATTTCTGCCAAGAGATCCACTGTGAGTCTGCTGGGCTTCCTTTTGTGAGTGACCTGACTTTCTCTCTGGCTGCCCTTAGCATTTTTTCTTTTATTATAACCCTGGTGAATCTGACAATTATGTTTCTTTGGGTACTCTTCTCAAGGAGTATCTTTGTGTTTTTCTCTGTATTTCCTGAATTTGAATGTTGGCTTGCCTTGCTAGGTTGGGAAGTTCTTCTAGATAATATCCTGAAGTATTTTCCAACTTTGTTTTATTCTCCTAGTCACTTTCATGTACACGAATCAAATGTAGATTTGGTGTTTTTACATAATCCCATATTTCTTGGAGGCTTTGTTCATTTCTTTTCACTTTTTTTTTTCTCTAATCTTGTCTTCTCACTTTATTCCATTGAGTTGATCTTCAATCTCTGATATTCTTTCTTCCATTTGATTGATTTCGGCTATTTAAATTTGTGTATGTTTCATGAAATTCTCACACTGTATTTTTCAGCTCCATCAGGTCATTTATGTTCTTCTCTTAACTGGTTATTCTAGTTAGCATTTCTTCTAACCTTTTTTCAAGGTTATTATCTTTTTTGCATTGGGTTAGAACATGCTCCTTTAGTGCAGAGAAATTTGTTACTCCCTACCTTATGAAGCCTGCTTCTGTCAATTCATCAAACTCATTCTCCATCCAGTTTTGTTCCCTTGCTGATGAGGAGTTGTGATCTCTTGGAGAAGAAGAGGCATTCTGGTTTTTGGAATTTTCAGCCTTTTTGCTCTAGTTTTTTCCCATCTTCATGGATTTATCTACCTTTAGTCTTTGAGGTTGGTGACCTTTGGATGGGGTCTCTGAGTGGACATCTTTTTGTTGATGTTGAAACTACTTCTTTATAAGTTTTTCTTGTAACAGTCAGTGCCCTCTGCTGCAGGTCTGATGGAGTTTGCTGAAAGTCCACTCCAGACCCTGCTTGCCTGGGAATCACCACTGGTGACTGCAGAACAGCAAAGAGTACTGCCTGTTTCTTCCTCTTGTACCTTCATCCTAGAAGGGTATCCAGCAGATGCTAGCCAGAGCTCTCCTCTATGAGGTGTCTGTCTGCCCCTACTAGGAAATGTCTCCCAGTCAGG